TAGAAAAACGTCTGTTTCATATTAAGGTCTATCGTTTATGTCCGTTGTTTGTTTGCAAATCACACTCTTTAGTTTACAATAATATTTTCAGCATGCAGGCAGGAAAATGTAGTAAACAAACAAACATGGAGAAGAGTGAAGTGACGCAGAACGTGGTAACAGGGAGAAGTCACGAGTCATTGCCTAAATAATTATTCTGTAATAAGTTCTCTAAAAAATGTAAATGTCAGTTCAATAAACCACATTTTTTATTCAATATTCCCATTTTTCAATGCAATCCTTAACTACCCTCAAACCTCTGGAAAAGAGCGCAGTTGCCTCCCGTCACTGAGAACGAGCAACTAAGATCCTGTAAAAGACGCAGTTCAATGTAACTACAATGCAACGTTAGTGTTAGTGCATGATGACAAATATATATATATATATATATATATATAAAAGTGTTTTTCAGTGAGAAGGTTGTGCTGTGTTGTACTGATCAGCGGTTACTTGGCTGAATTATAAAGTATTTCAAAGGTTATGTGTTTTATATTTTGTTTAATTGAAAATTTGCACAAAGCTTCTAAATAGGAGAAAAAATAGTCAAATATGAGTAAGAATCTTATATTTTGAATATATAATTGAACATGTAATAAGAAATAGGCCTTTACATACAAGTTGTATTATTAAAATTATTTTATATAGATACTGAACCCTTGTCCCTCATATCTTTCAGTAAGTTACCAATGGTTGCGTCTCAGGTCGTCAGAATAAAGTTGTGGATGCACCTGAAGCATCTGAAGGAGTTGAAGATGCAGATATTAATTTAATGAGGTCTTTCCCTCCTCTCTTTCCTTTTTTCACTGTATGTTTTTTCGCTCACGTTTGACCTCTGACCCTCCTCAGGACCTGGTGTCCAAGATGCTGCACGTCGACCCTCACCGGCGGCTGACGGCGGGTCAGGTCCTCCGACACCCGTGGGTGACGCACAGAGACCAGCTGCCCAAATACACCCTGAACAGACAGGACGCGCCGCACCTGGTCAAGGTGACTCGAACACGCTCAGACTCTCTGTGGTGGATCTTATCTGCTCTCCCGACCTCTCCGCACGTCTGAAAAAGAAATTGGTTGTCATGGAAACAACACATTTGCATTTGCGTGCTGCTGACAGAGAGCCAGTTCACACCAGGCACGAAATCCTGCGTGCAAATGAAAAATGATTTGATAATGAAAGCGTGCAGACGAGTGTGAAGACGGAGAATAATTCGTGCTGCAGATTTCTGTGTCGGCCTCTCGTCTGGTTGTTCTCTTCTGTTTCAGTGCTGCACACTTTACTCACACTAATATTTAAAAGCTTTACACTAAAGTCAGCTGCTACAGTAAAAGTCTTCCAGTGTTCACAACCTTCATTTGACTCCATTTTACTCTCTTTTTGTGTAAATTCTTTTAAAGCTTTCTACATTACAACGGGGTCATTTCATCTCTGGCACAATAAAAGACTTTAAATTGTTTGTTTTATATTAAAAAAGGGTGTCAATCAATCAATCAATCAATCAATCAATCAATAGTTTCAGCCCTCTGACTCTCTCTGTGTCCCCCCTCCAGGGTGCGATGGCTGCCACCTACTCGGCCCTGAACAGGAACGTCCCCCCGGTCCTGGAGCCGGTGGGCTGCTCCACTCTGGCGCAGCGGAGGGGGATGAAGAAGATCACCTCCACCGCTCTGTGACCTTTAACCCCGCCACCCCACACTCCCCCTCAACTCTGACCTCGATCTGACGTCCGCCGGACCCCCTTCCCTCCCCTCTCTCTCTCTCTCTCTGATCCAGTCCGGTGGGACAGACTACTGATGGACCCAGGAACCGCTAACGCCAAATAGGAACGACCGAGACCGCCGCCCCCCTGCCCCGCCCTTCCTGCACCTCAACGGACTCTTCTGATTGGATCTCGCGGCTGGCTATCGACAGCCGGACTGAGCTGTGATGAATACCTGTCGACTCTTTTGTCTTTGCTTCGGACAATCAGCGCCACCTTGTGGACCCGGAGACCGAGTGTGCGCCAGGAAAAGAAAAGTACTGTATTTATTTACTTAAAACGGGGAAATCTGAACATAGGAACATGGTAAACTAATGTATGCATTTAAAGAGCTAGGATCATTGTAATTATACTGTCGTTATGGTTCTGCGTAGCTGTAGATCCGGTATTTAAACCTCAAGTAGCCTCTGAGATGACGGCGTCTGCAGAAAAAGGAAAGAAGGTGTTCAAAGTTTGCTTTCGAGAGTTACCTTCAGAACTACAGAAACCCAGACGTAGGAGAGATAACAGAAGCATTTACTCAAACTTAACTTCTGACTTGATGTTTTTGGGATCAAGAAAAGTCTCTCAGGAGCCTGACTGAGTACATCTCACACTTCCAGGATCCAGTATTTTACCTTTCAGGTGCGAAACAGAACAAAAAGGAAATTGGTTCGTCTCAGCCTGCAGAATATTCAAAGTGTCCGACAGAGACTGGCAGTATCCTGTATTCTTCTTCTTGTCAACAAATCCCATGAAAACCCAGCGATGTGTCAGTGTCAGTACTCTGTGTGTGTGTAACAACGGAGCTCTGGGACACAGAGGAATAGGATATATCAGGCTTTGCTACACACACAACACTGTTGATTCTGATCTTTTGGTGGGATTTGTTGAGGGTAAGAGTCCAGAGAGTGGTTTGTCTCTCGCCTGTTCGCTCTCATTGGAATAATGTGAGCACATAAAGGAAGCAGATTCTGCCTCTATGCTGTATTTGTTTTTAAAGCTGCACAAGGCAACGTTGCATTTAAACGGCGCCCCCTGGTGTCTGTAACACGATGCAAAGTGACGGCTGTGAGTCAGTTTTCCTCTGGACAGACTGCTCTTATATCTAAATCTCATTTTACTCTCTAATCTGGCACTTATAGTTTGTGTGACACTGTATCACTTTATTGCACTTTACACACTGCTGGGTAGCTCAGTCCATAATAATACACCATAATTTATTCACCTGAAGAAGATAAAGGTTTTAGATAAAGGTAGTGGAGTAAAAAGTGGTACAAGCGCCTCAAACTTGTGCTGAACTGTCGTGAGTAAAAGTACTTAGTTACCTTTTAGTAAAGCATCTTTCAGGCTGATACGACACTAATTTAGTCGGGTTTGTATGTAGAACTCTTGCCTTGTGCAGCTTTAAGAGTGTCAGTAAATCTAAAGTACAAAAGCAGCTTTAACTGGAGGAGACGGGTGACATTTGCACAACAAGAGAACGTGGGGGCACCATCCTGGTTCTGGCACCCATCCTGGTCCCCCCCCCCACCCCCCCCCGACAAACAAACAGGCAGGATTTGTGTCTACCTGGAAACAAGGTGCACCCCTGGTTACGCTAACAGGCTGCCAGAGGACAGATTACCCCTCTGAGAGGCCAGCGATAAAGTTGGATAAATACGAATACAACATAAAGGCGAGAGAGCTTCCTGCTTCCACAAAGAAGACTTGAACCCGGCTCAGCCTCCGACCTTCTTCTGTACGAGCCGACTGATCATCTCCGTATGTGCAGCAGACAGGAGCTGAACTGTAAATATATATACGAGCAACTCAGGTTTCTATGAATCAAGACAATGCATTTTTATACGTCCAGCAGGAGAGAATATGTACATAATAAGCACACAGATGTGAGCGAGGGGGAGGCGAGCAGGACACGAGGAGGCAGAAGAGTTAATATTCCACAACCTGATCCATCCACGGGTGTTTCTTTCACCCCGTCCTTCGCTGAAGTTTGTTGTGTTTAAAGGCGTCACTTCTACCACAAAGACGTGTTTATGTCTGTGATGAAGAGGAATTCTTCTGTCAGCAAAAACCTTTAAAAACTCAAAGTGTAGCAGAAACACTCTCCTGGGTACGGCTGCAACCATTGCTGTTGTATCCGGGCCTCGATCTGTGAGTATGTACGCCATCGTGGAGGTTCATCAGTGAAGGAATTACTTCATAGGAGTGATTGATTATTGAATTATTGGGGACTTATTGTCAAAATCAAATCAGCAGACGGTTGAGGCATCTTTTACTTTCCCGTACAAGAATGTAAAAATACTCCACTACCAGTAAAAATACATTTATCATCAGCTAAATGAACTTACAGTATCAGAAGTGAAAGGTAGTTAATCCTGATGCATCAATGTGTACACAGCATTTTACTGCTAGTTTTAAATGGGAGGGGTCTTGAAGATGATTTATGGGGAAGAAAATAGGAAAAGATAAAGTTCTGCTTTTGATAAATTTAAATGAAACTGTGTGAGGAGGTTAGAGGTTATTTTATGAGCTCATCATTTGTTTATTTCATGTAAAATATTTAAAAAGTAACTCCAGTTGTCAGATAGATGTAATAAAGGGAAATATTGTACTTTTACTGCTCTACGTTCATTTAACGCTCAGTTACTTCTTACATCAGAAATCAATAAGATATCTATGGTATCTAAGACTCCACATTTATGAGCTACAGTAAAATATTATTATGTGTATTTGTTAGAGATCAAAACAAAATAATATAATATTCTAACACTCTGCATAATGAGCACTTTTACTTTTAAAAACATTTAGCTGATAATACGTCTGTACTTTTATTTTTACTTGTCATGGAGTATTTGTATATTATTGGAGTATTTCTACTTCTTTTTACACAATTGGAATTAATTTGAACATGGTGTCTATTTTACTTACAACTGAACTAAATTAATTTTTTTGTTATAGTTTGGATGAAAGAAATCAATCAGTTTTAAAATAATCTCTTCAGAAATGTGTCGATCTCGTAGAAACGCACTGAGCTGTGAGATACGACCTCCAACGTGGGC